TGGAGGTTGGTTTAGCCTTTGATGAAAAAGACGACATACGAGACCAGCAAGATGATATCAAGCCATCTGCGCAACAGAACATAAGTACAAACCCAGATCTCATTTGTGAATCGTTATCGACTGATAAGAACCACACGGACTGCTCTTCAGACAATTTGTCTAACAAGAATACGATCCCCTCCGGTATGTCACATTGTGATCTCATCAAATGCCAAACAAGATCTGTGGATGAAAATGTGAGAGAATTAATTAGTTTGCACCCTGAAATGACTGAAGCAACAGCCACGCTATTACTCACTTTAACGGAAAACCGTCTACATATTTCATATGAAATATGGAAGCACTTTATGCCTCGTGTTTAGAGAGACGTGTAAGCACTTATTTTCAGTAATATAAATAATGCTATTTTGCTCAGAGATAATTTATTAGGCTTAATGTTACAATTATTTTATACCTTCTTATTTTTGATTTTACTTATGTTGGTAATAATTATTGTCCTGCAGAGTTCGACTAGATTTTAGGTAGGGTCACCAAATTTTCGTGCTTTCAAGTTAGTACTGATAACAATGACTACCTAAACTTTTTCTATATCGTATAATTTTTCCTAAAATCTCATTTTAACAACGAATGAATGTATGATATTCTACTGATAGTGTGAAATATACTCGGCTTGACTTTTCAATTTGTCTTTTTATCCCAAAGAACATAGTGCAAATAAAATCCTTCCATGTGATTAAATCTGATTAGATATGAGGGCGTCTTCGAAAATTATCCAGATTTTCCAATTATTTTAAGGGTCTACACTGATTAGAAAAGTAAATAAGTACTAACAACTAGCTGGAGACGTACGTCCAATAGTATTTCCTGTCAACTGCTTCCAAACACCTAACACATCAACATAACCCACGTGATATCGAATCATTTACACTAGTGGCCATACTGCGACTTGATCGGTAGAATTCGATCAACACGATAGGACTGAACACATGTGACGATGACCACTATTCAGTGACCAATCGATTGTATGTTTGAAAATATAACGTAATTGCTAATCCCGAATGCCCTGGTACGGCCGAGAGTGGGGAGTCCGCTCTCCCTCTCGAAATACTCTCACACGGCCGCGCGTATACAGCCTCTGCCAGGGAAGTCCTACTCATTGCCTTCTCGTGGCGGGGGTGTTGTTTACGACAATGAGAGGACGAAAAGCGAATGTCCGGCGCTTTAACCGGATCCCAAACCAATGGTGCACATGGGCTCCAGTATCCTACGGGAACAAATGGCGTATGAACCAATCGTTGGTCACCGGCTACCATGGGACTGCATCTCCTTACGATGCTCCACTGCCTTGTGGGTTAGACCTTTAGGTCAAAGGCTCGGGGAGTGGCCCCCTAAGATAACCACCTGCTTCGGTTTGGGCACCCGGGCAGAATCACAGCCCACACACAAATGATTAACTCTCTATGTCTATGGAAATTACTTTTCTCGCTTCGAAAAACTATCAATTGATTCAAATTATTATCATTACAATTATTGTCATTATTAATACTAATATTATTATTACTACTATTATTGTCATTATTGTTATTATTATCATTATTATTATTATTTTCCACATTATTCACCTTCTTTTATACTTATACAGCGGCTCGTCTTTGGTGGAAATTCGACTGTATCTAAACGTTCTCGAGTCACTGTCCGGTTGAAAATTGTATGTTACCACCGAATATGAGTACTGAAGCAGTTTTTCTGAAACCACGTGCGCCATTCAAACTGGCTGGCATCAATGTTCGCACACTTATGCAGGTCGGACAACAGATAGGGCTGGCTATGTCTTTGGAAAGTCTTCATATTGATGTCTGCTCTCTATCCGAGACCCGTATTCAAGACTCTGGCGAAGTACTACAAATTCGATCTCCATCTGTCGCTTCGAAAAGCTTGTTTTACGTGCGTTTATCCGGGGACCCTGTGGCATATTCGTCTGGTTTTGCTGGCGTTGGTGTCGCACTAAGCTCTAGAGCTGAGGCAGCACTAGTCGATTGGATCCCTATTAACAGTCGGTTATGTGCTGTTAGATTAGAAAGTTCCATCAAAGTGAGAAGAAATCGGCGTGAGAAACGATGTCTTTTCGTCATCTCCGCCTATGCCCCGACAGATTGCAGCCCGGATGCAATCAAGGATGAGTTTTACCACCAGTTATCTGTTCTTCTCCAGAAAGTGCGTTCGACAGATATTGTAGTACTAGCCGGAGACTTGAATGCTCAGGTCGGGCGTCTAGGCACAGAAGAGAGTCGTTTAGGTGGCCGATGGGGACTCGTTGGTCGCAGGTCAGATAACGGGGACCGTCTACTGCAACTTTGCACAGACCACAACCTGTTTCTGGCTAGCACTAACCTTCGGCACAGTCATCGCCGATGTGTCACCTGGCGTCCTCCCTCTGCATCTCAAGCCTGGACTCAGATTGATCACATCGCGATCAGCTACCGCTGGCGTGGTTGTGTACAAGACTGCCGCTCCTTTTGGAGTACCTATCTGGACTCTGACCATGCCTTGGTCTGCGCCAATCTTGCCTTACTTTTCAGTGGACAACGAAGTGAACGCCATCAACGGATTGATGTTAGCAAGCTGGTTGCAACTTCTGTTGCAAGTAAGTATCGAACCGAGCTAGCCTCTAGGCTAGCTACCACTCCACCGAAAAGTATAGATGAGCATTGGTTGTAATTGCATGACGCCATGAAAATGGCGGGTACAGTCAGTTGTGGGTTCGTGAAATGTCGCGCTTATAAGCACTGGGTTTCTTCTGGTTCCTTACAACTCATTGAAGCCCGTCGGTCTACTCCGGGTGACCATGAGTTTGACCATAAACGAAGGATGTTACGTAATGAAATTGAGAAAAGCTTGCGTAAGGACGGAGAAGCCTGGTGGTCGATGCGTGCTAACGAGCTGGAAGCAGCAGCTGCATCTGGTAACTACCGGAAGCTCTTCCAGCTCATCCGAGCCACTGGCAGCAAGAAGTCTGGTGTGAGTGAAACAATCTGCGAGGATGATGGGATGCCAATCACTAACATCCATCGACGTCTTGGACGATGGGCAGAATTTTTCGAAGGGCAGTTCAACTGGCCTGCTGCTCCGGCAACATCGGTCAGACTGTCCTGCCCTCCATGGCCGGTGACGACTGATCCACCAAATGAGGAGGAAGCCGCAAGGAACTCCAACTCTTGAAGCGTTACAAATCACCGGGCCCAGATGACTTACCTCCGGCTCTTTTTAAAGATGGTGGTGACTTTCTGACTAATGAATTGACGACGTTGTTTACAAAGATTTGGGAACTAAAGAGTGTACCAACGTCATGGAATGAGTCGATAGTTGTCCCTATCTTTAAAAAGGGTTCACGTCGTTCCTGTAACAACTATCGGGGGATAAGTCTACTTGCGATTGCGTCCAAGCTATTGGCTTCCATCATACTTCGTAGGTTGTTCAAAACCCGAGAAAGATTGACTCGCGAGGAGCAGGCTGGGTTTCGTTCTGGTCGAGGATGTATTGATCATATCTTCACCCTCCGCCAAACGTTAGAACACCGCCATACTTATCAAAGGCCAACAATCGTAGTGTTTCTTGACATTAGGGCTGCCTTCGATTCGTTGGATAGGACTGTTCTCTGGGATTGTCTATTGAAGAAGGGTGTGCCTGAGAACTTTATTAACATCCTAAAACCCCTATATACAAACACCTCAGGCAGAGTGAGGGCATACAACCACCTCTCTCCATTGTTCCATTCGAGCAGTGGGGTTAGGCAGGGTTGCCCAATCTCACCATTCCTCTTCAACTTCGCCATCGATGACATTCTGGAAACAGCTCTGATGAATGTAAGTAATGGTGGTGTGGATCTGCTGCCTGGAGAAAGACTTCTCGACCTTGAGTATGCGGACGATATTGTCTTACTGTGCGATAATGCCCAAGCCATGCAATCCGCACTTAATCAGTTGGCAATCAGTGTCCGTAGGTACGGTATGTGCTTTGCACCTTCGAAGTGCAAAGTACTTCTACAAGACTGGCAGGATTCTAATCCTGTACTCACCCTGGATGGTGAGCAGATAGACGTAGTTGAGAAGTTCGTGTATCTGGGTAGCTGCATAAGTGCTGGTGGGGGGTGTGAGTGATGAGATCAATGCACGAATAGTAAAAGCCAGAGCAGCTTATGCCAATCTGGGCCACCTTTGGCACCTTCGTGATGTTAGTCTGGCTGCAAAAGGTCGGATCTACAACGCGTTGGTGATAACAGTTTCGCTCTATGTTTGTGAAACCTGGTCTCTCCGAGTTGAGGACGTTAGACGACTCTCTGTGTTCGATCATCGCTGTCTCCGAAGGATTGCTGACATCCAGTGGCAACACCATGTCAGTAATGCAGAGGTTCGGCATCGTGTGTTCGGACACAGAGATGATAACTCAATTGGTGTCACCATCTTGAAACACCGACTTCGGTGGCTTGGACATGTTCTTCGAATGTCGTCCCAGAGAATTCCACGTCGTGCATTATTTGCCGACTCTGGGACTGGTTGGAAAAAGCGGAAAGGTGGTCAGTGCATGACATGGTGTCGTGGCATGAAAAAAAGCTGCAAAGGACTGGCTTCTGCCGGTCCTTCACGACTCCCTGGTTGGGGTCCGAGAGATGGTGCTACACAGTGGCTAGAGACGTTATCAGATATGGCTCAGAATAGAAGCCAGTGGCGATCCTGCAGTAACCTTCTTTTACTTTCTTCATAAAAAGTGGTTGTGTCTCCCTTACTTGAAAGATTTCTTCTGATTGTACCTTTCCGTTCCCTCATTACTACCACACTACCTTACAACAATCTCTTCGTTATTGTTCTCTTTTTTTCTATTTCTCTTCGAATTCTCATTGTTTTGTGTGGCGCATATATATTGGCGCTCTTGTACCAATATTCATGTGTTCAAATAAATAAATAGTAACTAGGGTTTTCGAAATCAAGTAAACAAATGACACAAAAGATTCGTATTATGTATTACCATCTAATTATCTTTGTTTTTATAGGGATTAGTATGAACTGCTTTTTCGTACACTGGTAATGCAGTATTTTTCCAGTAGGTAAATCCTCTAATCAGGTTTTTGTTTCTTTCAGCTAAACATTCGCGAAAATGAATTAATTTTTCTGACCCAACAGATAAAAAACGGCTAGCTTCATAAGTATATTGGACTGTAGAATTACGGGGTGGTTTCAACAAGTCACACATTTGATCAGCTAATTGTTCGCCAGTTTCGAAAAATAAGCCATATTTATTATCCTCCATCAATTCACTTAGTGTTGTATAACCTAGCGCCAGGACAGGGACGTTCACACCAAGTAAGTCAACTACCTAAACATATACAATAAAAAATACCCATACGAAATGTGTTCAAGGATGTTAGGTTAAAATAATTGGTGGTTAGTAATAATTGAAAATCTACATGGGTATATATATTGAAAAGTTGAATCTTAATAATAAAGCTTTTGGATTCTATATTTGGTCATTCTAGGTTTTTGGAACTAGAATTAAAATAAAATGACTATACCTCTAGAGTGTACTTCTGTTCTTTATACTCATGTAAAAATTTGTGCGAACACACGATTGGGCTAGTTTATGATATAGCTATCTGGTAAGCGATCTTTAGGGAACTAAGAGCCTTTTCAACTTCAAAATAACAAAATGACGGTATTGTCCCGAAATGCAACCATACAGAGCTTCGTCTGTAAATACAGAAATAGGTTTACTTATCTGTTTCTCCGTTTAAAAATTATTTTGGCAATAACCCCACTTCGTGGTTACATATTACGTAAGGTGACATTTTAAGATTACACATACTACTTCTTTGTAATATCTGAAAATACTTCAAACTCACTTTCATGGGTAAATCCAGTCCCGAGGAACTTCGATGTATGCTAAGTCCTAAGTCAGCACATCCAAGAAAAACGGGATAATCTGACCACTCAAGCCACAACATAATGACTTCCACATGTTTCCACTTTTGTTCTTTTATTAATTTTGCATAGTAGCTTTGTAATGGACCACGACCTAAAGCAAGGGAAGTAAAATAACATGACAATAGTTGTGTCACATTCAGATAGAAACTCTAAATCACCTCTGTGGTACTTTAGACTGAGTGACTTAAATAAAGCAATGTACTTGTAATATCCCAATGATTAGAAAAAAAATTCTGACATTTTGCGACTCAGTGTAAGCCACTTGTTCATAGGATAAATAACGAAATCAAAATTAATCCAAGTTTAAATAGTACAAAGGAACAACGCAAGAGGGGGGAAATTTTGTGCAACCAATAATCAATTTGTTGAATGCACAGAGGTTCACAAATCTCTCCCATTTCCGTTTCTCTGTCCCAGTCCATGTTGTCCCATAATATCTTCATATCCGGTGTTATCTATTCCGACTTTGGCATTTAGATCTCCCATCAGAATGGTGAGGTCCCGTCTTGGGCACTTCTCTATGATTGATTGCAGCGTCTAATAGACCTGATCTTTTTTGTCGTCGTTGTTATCATTGGTGGGTGCATAACGTTGGATAACATTGATTGTGATCCCCTCTTTCTTTGTTTTGAATGATGCTTTGGTGATTCTGGGTCCGTGAGATTCTCATCCTACAAGTGCATTTCGTGCTACTTCGGATAGTATTAGAGAAACTCCGTGTGTGTGGAGCATTTTTCTCTTCTTGACCGGAGTACAGAAGCATCTCTCCCGTATCGAGCTTTTGCTGTCCAGCTTGGGTCCAATAGGTTTCTTTGATTCCGAGTACTTCCAAGCATTTCCTCTCGGTCTCCCACATTGTCTGAACGTCCCATGTACCTATAAAAATTGTTGCTCTGGTTGTTAGAAGGGGCATCGGCCTCGTGACTTCCAAAGAATCTCGACTTTCATCCTGAGGCGTCATAATTCTCCCTTCAATTCCCAAAGCAGAGTTTAAATGGTTTAATTTGTTTAATCTGGTTGGTATTTTTCTACCAAAATTTTTCCTACGGCATGGGGTTGCCAACCACATGACCAACCCTCATCCTTTACCCGGGCTTGGGACCGGCAGTAAATAGGAGAGCTCTAGGCGGAGAATCAATTAGACGATTTGGACTTCGCAGATGATCTAGCCCTTCTATCCCATGCATACGAACAAATGCAGATAAAGACAGCCAGTGTAGCAGCAGTCTTTGCATCAGTAGGCCTCAACATACACAAGGGGAAAACCAAGGTCCTCAAATACAACACGGAGAACACCAACCCAATCACATTTGACGGCGAAACTCTGGAAGATGAAGAATCCTTCACATACCTGGGAAGTATCATCGATGAACAAGGAGGTTCAGATGCAGATGTGAGGGTGAGGATTGGCAAAGCAAGGGCCTCATTCTTACAATTGAGGAACATATGGAACTCAAAACAAACTTCAACCAATATCAAAGTTAGAATCTTCAATACGAACACCAAGGCAGTTCTACTGTGCGGAGCTGAAACTTGAAGAACTACAACAACCACCATCAAGAAGGTGCAAGTATTTATAAATAGCTGTCTACGCAGGATAATCAACATCCATTGGTCGGATGCCATCAGTAACACCGTACTCTAGAAGAGGACAAACCAGCTGAAGAGGAAGTTAGGAAAAGATGTTGGAATTGGATAGGACATACATTACGGAAATAATCAAAATGCATCACGAAGCAAGCACTAACATGGAATCCTGAAAGGAAACGGAGAAGAGGAAGACCGAAGAACACACTGCGTCGGGAATTGGCAGCAGACTTGAGAGCGACGAATAGCAACTAGAAAGAACTGGAAAGGACTGCTCAGGACAAGGTTGGATGGCGAGTGGCTTATGCTCCTCCACGAGGAGTAACAGGCGTAAATTGTAATTGTTACATCGCAAGAATATTATGTGCATGCAAATATATTATTTTATTTATAACAATCTACTCAATGCTCAATTTATTCGAAATTATCAGGGCAAACCTTGGTAACGATACCTATAAGTGTCTTGAAATTATCCGAGATCTTAAACAACACTCGAAGTAATCAAGAAGTGTTTTGAAATCTGTTGTACAGACTAAGATTACAGATCCTTTGGGCATAAATTATTTAGAAGCACCTTTCTGATAAGTGGGATGAAAGGAAACCTAAAATACTGCTATTATTTAGATAGATTTTTAGAGTTTGATGCGATACTTAAAGCCTTGTTTTTTCGTTGCAAATTTGGATAGGTTTAGGGGAGTATAGGGAATATGCCTTCTTGTCATCAACTACATACATGTAATGAAGATGGGATGCAGATAACACAACATTAGGTAGAATGCACCTAAGACGAGAGTGGAAGGGGCGAAGCCATTAGAAAATAAGAAAGGTTTATGTGTGAACGATTGATCTATGATGATACCATAACTAAATTGACAAATATGGATCTTATAGATAAAACCAGCCACACTACGAGAACAATAAGTCAGAACAGGTTAAAAATGTCTAAGACAAAAGACTGAACACAGTTTAGCGTAAAACTATACCTGTTACAGCAAACACAATACTGGGTAAACCTGAATCTGGTTTTTCAGCTGCCTTGTCGTAGATTCCCAGTGCTTTAATTGCCAACGTGAAGTCATCATCAGGTGTCCAGCTGCAACTACTAACAACCAATGCTGGGCGATCTGGGCGCCAATGGGGCTCATTGTTCTTGGTATTAGTCGGTAAAGCAGTTATCTCAGTAAAGCGTGTGAATCGACATGAATCTAGTTTGTTTCTAAACACTGAGTATTGATCGCTGAGTCTAAAAATTTAATAAGCCCGAGTTGAGAAAATTGTCAAGAAACACTAGGGAAATATCGAAACTAACTTTCCGGAAATAATTAGCTAATATAGTCGGTGCTTTATAAGTACAATAATGACTTTTTCGACTTCACATTCGTAAATATACACTAACTCGCTTTTGTAACCACTAGTCGGCAAAAGCCAAACGAGCTTTATGAATCCACGCACAGATTTGGTCAGACACCAACCCATTAGGGCTGATCAGACTTCCAAGATAAGTGAAGTTGTCAGGGAAGCTGCCAGGGAAGTCCTACTCATTGCCTTCTCGTGGCGGGGGTGTTTACGAAAATGAGAGGACGAAAAGCGAATGTCCGGCGCTTTAACCGGATTCCAAATCAATGGTGCACATGGGCTCCAGTATCCTGCGGGAACGAATGGCGTATGAACCAATCGTTGGTCACCGGCTACCATGGGACTGCATCTCCTTACGATGCTCCACTGCCTTGTGGGTTAGACCTTTAGGTCAAAGGCTCGGGGAGTGGCCCCCTAAGATAACCACCTGCTTCGGTTTGGGCACCCGGGCAGTATCACAGCCGACACACAAATTGATGAACTCTTTATGCCTATGGAAATTACCTTTCTCGCTTTGAAAAACAAACAATTGATTCAGATTATTATCATTACAATTATTGTCATTATTAATACTAATATTATTATTACTACTATTATTGTCATTATTGTTATTATTATCATTATTATTATTATTTTCCACATTATTCACCCTCTTTTATACTTATACAGCGGCTCGTCTTTGGTGGAAATTCGACTGTATCTAAACGTTCTCGAGTCACTGTCCGGTTGAAAATTGTATGTTACCACCGAATACGAGGACTGAAGCAGATTTTCTGAAACCACGTGCACCATTCAAACTGGCTGCCTTCAACGTTCGCACACTTATGCAGGTCGGACAACAGATAGGGCTGGCTATGTCTTTGGAAAGTCTTCATATTGATGTCTGCTCTCTATCCGAGACCCGTATTCAAGACTCTGGCGAAGTACTACAAATTCGATCTCCATCTGTCGCTTCGAAAAGCTTGTTTTACGTGCGTTTATCCGGGGACCCTGTGGCATATTCGTCTGGTCTTGCTGGCGTTGGTGTCGCACTAAGCGCTAGAGCTGAGGCAGCACTAGTCGATTGGATCCCCATTAACAGTCGGTTATGTGCTGTTAGATTAGAAAGTTCCATCAAAGTGAGAAGAAATCGGCGTGAGAAACGATGTCTTTTCGTCATCTCCGCCTATGCCCCGACAGATTGCAGCCCGGATGCAATCAAGGATGAGTTTTACCACCAGTTATCTGTTCTTCTCCAGAAAGTGCGTTCGACAGATATTGTAGTACTAGCCGGAGACTTGAATGCTCAGGTCGGGCGTCTAGGCACAGAAGAGAGTCGTTTAGGTAACCGATGGGGACTCGTTGGTCGCAGGTCAGATAACGGGGACCGTCTACTGCAACTTTGCACAGACCACAACCTGTTTCTGGCTAGCACTAACCTTCGGCACAGTCATCGCCAATGTGCCACCTGGCGTCCTCCCTCTGCATCTCAAGCCTGGACTCAGATTGATCACATCGCGATCAGCTACCGCTGGCGTGGTTGTGTACAAGACTGCCGCTCCTTTTGGAGTACTTATCTGGACTCTGACCATGCCTTGGTCTGCGCCAATCTTGCCTTACTTTTCAGTGGACAACGAAGTGAACGCCATCAACGGATTGATGTTAGCAAGCTGGTTGCAAGTAAGTATCGAACCGAGCTAGCCTCTAGGCTAGCTACCACTCCACCGAAAAGTATAGATGAGCATTGGTTGCAATTGCATGACGCCATGAAAATGGCGGGTACAGTCAGTTGTGGGTTCGTGAAACGTCGCGCTTTTAAGCACTGGGTTTCTTCTGGTTCCTTACAACTCATTGAAGCCCGTCGGTCTACTCCGGGTGACCGTGAGTTTGACCATAAACGAAGGATGTTACGTAAGGAAATCGGGCAAAGCTTGCGTAAGGACGGAGAAGCCTGGTGGTCGATGCGTGCTAACGAGCTGGAAGCAGCAGCTGCATCTGGTAACTACCGGAAGCTCTTCCAGCTCATCCGAGCCACTGGCAGCAAGAAGTCTGGTGTGAGTGAAACAATCTGCGAGGATGATGGGATGCCAATCACTAACATCCATCGACGTCTTGGACGATGGGCAGAATTTTTCGAAGGGCAGTTCAACTGGCCTGCTGCTCCGGCAACATCGGTCAGACTGTCCTGCCCTCCATGGCCGGTGACGACTGATCCACCAAATGAGGAGGAAGCCGCAAGGAACTCCAACTCTTGAAGCGTTACAAATCACCGGGCCCAGATGACTTACCTCCGGCTCTTTTTAAAGATGGTGGTGACTTTCTGACTAATGAATTGACGACGTTGTTTACAAAGATTTGGGAACTAAAGAGTGTACCAACGTCATGGAATGAGTCGATAGTTGTCCCTATCTTTAAAAAGGGTTCACGTCGTTCCTGTAACAACTATCGGGGGATAAGTCTACTTGCGATTGCGTCCAAGCTATTGGCTTCCATCATACTTCGTAGGTTGTTCAAAACCCGAGAAAGATTGACTCGCGAGGAGCAGGCTGGGTTTCGTTCTGGTCGAGGATGTATTGATCATATCTTCACCCTCCGCCAAACGTTAGAACACCGCCATACTTATCAAAGGCCAACAATCGTAGTGTTTCTTGACATTAGGGCTGCCTTCGATTCGTTGGATAGGACTGTTCTCTGGGATTGTCTATTGAAGAAGGGTGTGCCTGAGAACTTTATTAACATCCTAAAACCCCTATATACAAACACCTCAGGCAGAGTGAGGGCATACAACCACCTCTCTCCATTGTTCCATTCGAGCAGTGGGGTTAGGCAGGGTTGCCCAATCTCACCATTCCTCTTCAACTTCGCCATCGATGACATTCTGGAAACAGCTCTGATGAATGTAAGTAATGGTGGTGTGGATCTGCTGCCTGGAGAAAGACTTCTCGACCTTGAGTATGCGGACGATATTGTCTTACTGTGCGATAATGCCCAAGCCATGCAATCCGCACTTAATCAGTTGGCAATCAGTGTCCGTAGGTACGGTATGTGCTTTGCACCTTCGAAGTGCAAAGTACTTCTACAAGACTGGCAGGATTCTAATCCTGTACTCACCCTGGATGGTGAGCAGATAGACGTAGTTGAGAAGTTCGTGTATCTGGGTAGCTGCATAAGTGCTGGTGGGGGGTGTGAGTGATGAGATCAATGCACGAATAGTAAAAGCCAGAGCAGCTTATGCCAATCTGGGCCACCTTTGGCACCTTCGTGATGTTAGTCTGGCTGCAAAAGGTCGGATCTACAACGCGTTGGTGATAACAGTTTCGCTCTATGTTTGTGAAACCTGGTCTCTCCGAGTTGAGGACGTTAGACGACTCTCTGTGTTCGATCATCGCTGTCTCCGAAGGATTGCTGACATCCAGTGGCAACACCATGTCAGTAATGCAGAGGTTCGGCATCGTGTGTTCGGACACAGAGATGATAACTCAATTGGTGTCACCATCTTGAAACACCGACTTCGGTGGCTTGGACATGTTCTTCGAATGTCGTCCCAGAGAATTCCACGTCGTGCATTATTTGCCGACTCTGGGACTGGTTGGAAAAAGCGGAAAGGTGGTCAGTGCATGACATGGTGTCGTGGCATGAAAAAAAGCTGCAAAGGACTGGCTTCTGCCGGTCCTTCACGACTCCCTGGTTGGGGTCCGAGAGATGGTGCTACACAGTGGCTAGAGACGTTATCAGATATGGCTCAGAATAGAAGCCAGTGGCGATCCTGCTGTAACCTTCTTTTACTTTCTTCATAAAAAGTGGTTGTGTCTCCTTTACCTGAAAGATTTCTTCTGATTGTATCTCTTTGTCATTGTTCTCTTTTTCTTTTGCGTTCCTTAGTTTTTTTTCTTCTTTCTACTTCTCTTCGAATTCCCATTGTTTTGTGTGGCGCATATATATTGGCGCTCTTTTGTACCAATATTTATGTGTTCAAATAATAATAATAATTGATGAAGTTGTCAACGCTTTCGACTACTTCACTCCCTATCCTTAGTTCAGGTGTTGACGCAGACCAGTCCTGAAGCTTGCATTTGGAGGGTGAGAAGCGCATTCCAAACATTCTGGCATTGTTGCTTAGTGCTACCAGAAGACTGCATTTTATCAGCATTTTCACCAAACAAGACTATGTCGTCTGCGTATTCTAAGTCAATAAATGGACCTCCTGAAAGGAGATCAACACCCGAGAATTCAGTCGACGAGAATGTTATTTCCATCAGTAGGTCTATGATGAAGTTAAACTAAAATGGAGAAAGTGAACAGCCTTGACGGACACCACTTGAGGTTGCAAAAGCAGATGACAGTTCGCCATAGGCTCTCACTCAACTAGTAGTGTTCGAGTAAAGAGCCTTCATAAGGTTTATGTACTTCTGAGGTACGCCTTTCAATGACAGATACTACCACAGAATCTCGCGGTCTACCGAGTCAAATGCTGCTTTTAAGTCAAGAAAGACCACGATAGTCGGACGCCGATAAGTATGCCTGTGTTCTAAGATCTGACGAATGGTGAATATGTGATTGATGCATCCATGATCAGGCCTGAAGCCAGCCTGACTTTTTCGTGTTTGCAGTCCACGAGTCTTCGTAAGGCGTCCGATAATTGTTGAGGCTAGTATTTTAGATACTATATTAGTTAAACTAACCCCTCTATAGTTGTCACAGGATGAATTTGATCCCTTCTTATATATTGGGACAATAAGCGATTGCAACCAGTCAGATGGGATAACGTCCAACTCCCAGATCTTAGCTAAAATATTAGTCAACCTAATGGTTGAAATCGGACCACCACACTTAAAAACCTCTGGAGCCAATCCATCTGGACCAGCTGCTCTTCGTCGTTTCAGATTAGCTATAGCTTTTTGATATTCAATCAGAGTTCAGAGGCCTACTTCAATGTTCCATTCAGGGTGTCTCACTTATTTATTTGAACATAAATATAGGTACAATGGAGCACCAGATATATATGCATCACACAAAAGTTTCCACCATAGGCGAGCTGCTGTATAAGTTGAAAAATAATGATACACAAAGTGGGAATAAAAGAGTATATCAGTGGCGTAGTATATAAGAAAAATAAAAATGTTATCAAATGGATATGAGTTGTCTGGATTTTAATTGGAATAAGAACAGTATTTATAGTGTTGTAATTTCATTTTATTTGTGTGTGGGCTGTGATACCGCCCGGGTGCCCAGACCGAAGCAGGTGGTTTTCTTATGGGGCCACACCCTGAGCCTTTGACCTAAAGGTCTGACCCACAAGGCAGTTGAGCATCGTGAGAAGATGCAGTCCCATGGTAGCCGGTGACCAACAACTGGTTCATACGCCATTTGTTCCCTCAGGAAACTGGAGCCCATCTGCACCAATGGTTTGCAATCAGGGTTTCCCAACTCCCCTAGGTGGACTTACCGTGTCCACCGGCCCGGTTAAAGCGCCGGACATTCGCTTTTCGTCCTCTCAATTTCGCAAACAACACCCCCGCTACGAGAAGGCAGTGGGTAAGACTTCCCTGGCAGAGGCTGTATACACATGGCCGTGTGAGAACATTTCGAGAGGGAGGGCGCCCCCCCCCCACTCTCGGCCGTACCAGGGTGTTTGGGCATGGTGGGTAGCTGTAGACCAATGGAACTGCCCCTTTAAGTGCTCCGCCCATCATCCTAGACATCTGGACTGAGAGCGGATAAGAGTGTCGTCTTTGTCGGCGATTGTCTCACTTACACTTGACTTCTAAATTCCGGTCTCTTCCATTAGTCAGTAAAGCTATTTTGTGTTACCTGCAGCTGCTGCTTTTTCATCTCTTGCTTTCGTTGCCTATTACTGCTCACGATCGTTCCGTAGACTTCTCGTTAACCTAGATCTGATTTGTTTTCGCTCATCATTGTGTTTAGAGCCTGACGGGATAAGTTTACGAAAGTCTATCAATGAAATAAGTGTGACAGGAATTCACTGGTTTTTCGCAACCCTTTGATTCAAATCACCAGTAGATATCACTGCTGTTTCCACAGCTGATTATCTATCTTCCCAAGCAACATCTGGGTCATCCTCGTTCTTAGAGCTGCCTGAGTGTGACCTCAGTTGTTCCTGCGATGTGCTTTTGGTTTCCTCGTCACTGAGTTCAACTCTAATGGGTCTACTCGGAGTTCCCAGTTAATATGAGAAGCATGGTTTTTAAAATTAGCAACCATTCTGAATAATGTAACATTATTTTTACATATAGAACAAAAATAAATTTGCGAAATAACCTCAAAAAAACATTTGCCGAAAAAATGTTAGTAATTACAGATTAATACTTAAAAACTACTAATTAACCGGAAAATAGACTACTGAATGATCTTACTTCAAGAACAAACAGTGGGCAACATCTACAGGTGTAGGTTTGAATTCTTCTGCAGGACGATCATAATAAACAGTTGCTTCTATTGATTTCATTCCCATATCGTACTTTAAAGCTTTTGATACGCAAATGTTCGCAACACGATCGGACATTCTGGACATAAAGCGACTTGCGAAGTCAACTTCCAATATGTAGTACAACCTACAAATATTAATATGGATATAAATGGAATAGGTTTGCTAACCGCGTGAATAAACTTTTTCTCGGCGCATTTAGCTCCACAAGAGTATAACCATAGTTGTGCCAGTCAATAACTAAATTCTTCCCCGTAATCTTGATAAATAACCATAAAATCAAAAAAGTTGGTACTGCAGGAGGATTCTGAACCAAAATTAAACGGCTACGGCAGTGTCTAGTAAGATGACAGAAGAGTGCTACAGCCGTAAAAATAAACTAAAGTTAACATGATTAAAGGAAAATTAAATATACCTTGAGGATAAGAACCATAAACGAAGGGAAATGTAGAGCTTTGAAATTCGGACACATAGGTATACCCAGGACTTTCAATTTAAAATTCAACGGGTTTATTATTTCAGTTTTGTATCCTGATATAGTTACATCCCAACCATCACGAGCCAAAAACTGAGCTTGGGACAATATTCTTGGTGATCGTGCGAGATCACCAAGCACAATAACGTGAGCTGTTCGATTAGTGGCCATCAATTAATTCCCAAAAACCTAAAATAAAATAGTTGAAACATATGTATGTATATAAATCTTTACAACTAAACTTTAAACACCAAGATTGCTTTTGAATGCAACTTATCTACTAATTCGGGAGTCGAAAGCACATCATACAAACTACTTTATTTTCATGAAACGGTAACTAGAGTAGCATACCTACTTTCTCCTGACTTAGGGTTTTGGCTTATCACTCGAACAAAATTTGTTAGCAGTAGAATTCCCTGAGTTTGGTTTTTCTAGATAGTGTCGTGTCACCATTTGTCAATTTTTATAGAAATAGCTGAATTGTCATTTTTCAGCGATTTATGAAAGCAGTTGAAATAACAGACTACGAAAAAAACTTTCGATGAAGGCCATAAGTATATACATTGACCATTGTTGACAGAAACTGAGAAATGGTAGGGGAATTACAATTCAAGGTGGGTTACATAAAACAACCACGCAGGATAGTATTTTGATATCTTCATAGCTATAAAAGAATGGTTTGATACAGGGATCACAGTTAGTCAGCCAATTACTATAAGTCGTAATTCGTCAGAAAAACGAGGACATTATTCATGTATAGGCAGTGAAATGTCACTGGGCCATAGCTAAATCATCCGGTAGTAGGGTCACTGAATATCGAGCAGTGCACCGGTCCTCGTTAAGGTCAACGACAACTAACACGCATCAGTTAATTGCACGCCATGAACTGGCCCATGTGTTGGCGGTCGCACTCGATTCCTTGTACCTATCCTTACTAATATATTTTTGTAATGACGTGATTCGGGCCGCACGGTCATTAAGATAGCAACAGTACTTAGATACGACGAATGTTAATCCACGTTAGGCGCTGACCGTAATGTGTTACTTTAACGTTAGTTGGCCCCCGACCATTTGACACACCATTTACGTTGGTGATCTACACTGGTGAGCAAGACTTCGAATAACGCAACTTATTATTATACTCTCTATTACTGCATTCTACACTCATTCTCCTTCATTTCTATCGTCGCTTTAGTTCACCAGTTACCGTGAACATACGTTGATCTGCACTCCAAAGAGATTATTGACTGGATAGCTAGTTGTACAGCTAAAGAGATGAGAGGGAGAGCTGGTCTATCATAAGGCAACTTGCTCTATCCTGGAAAATTTACTAACATGATGGAGATAAATTTCTAAATTGGCTACGGCAGATTATATACGGTCAGTAACAGACAGAAAAGATATGGAAAATATGCGACTATGACTTGAAACAGAGTTATGTAACAATTTTTTTCTCGCTGCAGTTGTACAATGAATATGACTATGAGCAGTTCTATAAGCGATTTTTGTCTCTTTACTAAACGGATAAACAGAACATCGAAAACTTGTTGCTGTTTTGTAATGTGGAATCACTCTGATGTGACGTCTTAGTTTGCACAAGATGTATCCTTTGTTTTGAAGTTATCTTCCCGGTCGAATTAACATGGATGCTTTCTGCTAGGTTAAACCCATATGAAAGATTTGTCTTTACAGTGTTTGAGTAGGGATCTGGCGGAACAGCAGTGATCATATTCTCATGGCAAAATTATGAGACCTAATCAATCTGATCACATTTTTTTATTTAACCTTAAAAGGCTCATAAGAGCCGTCAAATCAGTAAGTACATGAACTCACTTTTAGTGGTGAAGATCGACGATAATTTACATCAACAAGTGAGACTGAAAGAACTTGATAGTTCAAACTGAAAGGTAGCAGGATTGTATTCAGAATGTGTTAGGACTACATAAAAAACCTAACACGTTGCGCGACCATTAACTCAGCCGCGTCTTATATGTTTAAACTTTTTCGGTTGAAACTGAGGACTGAATGTTATTTACAGTGTGTGCTTGGATTATAGACATTTAGGGGACATGATATACGAAAAGGGAAGATTCTCTCGTGGCAGTACAGATATTCAAAATAGACTAAGTCACATTTCCTAAGGTTGCGTAAAAATACAGATTCAAATGGTTGTGGACGGAATAGAAGAAGCTTTCGCTTAACAGGCTTCCGTGTCTAGTAGCAGGGGAACACCAAATCCTCCAGGCAGGAACCTAGGAATGTTAACAGTAAAAGAGGAAAAGAAATTGGTAAATCATAATATGATGCTGTCCTTGGTCCTTAAGTATAGGTCAAGTTGCCTCTTGAAGAACTCCTGAGAAGTCGCTTGGACTAGCTCGGCCGGCAGCGAATTCCAGCTTTTGACAACTCTTAAGGAGTAGAAGTTGTGTCTACATTCCGTCTTGCTATGTTGTGTTTCCAGTTTCTGGGTGTTACCCCTTAGGTTATTATTCGAACTAAGCTTAAGTAGGTGTTTAAGAGGATGTCCAGAAGTGTTAAGAATACTATAAACCATTGGTAAATCACCTCTAAGAGGCCTATATTCTAGTGGGTAAAGGTCTAGTGAACGGAGGCGTTCTTCGTAAGGCTTAGATTTGAGTCCTCGAACTGATTTCGTGGCTCGCCGTTGGATACGCTCCAAAGTGACCTTGTCCTTTTGGAGTGAGGGGGGGAGTACTATGTTTCCGTACTCTAAATGGGGACGGATGAAACTATTGAAGATTGTGTGGAAAGTTCGTCCGTCAAACTGGCCAAAAATGCGCCTCAACGTTGCCAGTGCAAGGTTTGCTCGGAAGGCATTTTTGTCACAGTTAGCGTAAGACTTCAAGTCATGGGGCACCAGGACTCCTAAATCTTTTTCGACTTGGGATACTACTAGAGAGGAGTTTCCTAAGTTGTAACTGTAGTTTGCGACATGTCGCAGATGGACTACTTTACACTTTGAAGTGTTAAAGGTAAGTCCGTTGTCGTCTGCCCAACTTTGAAGTCGCGTCAGATCCTCCTGAATTGCCTGTGTATCGTCTTGGTTGCGTATCTCTCTCCAAAGTTTCACGTCGTCGGCAAAAAGTAATAAGTCTGACGTTACCTGTTGAGAAAGATCATTTATGTAGATCAAGAAGAGAAGAGGCCCTAGTACTGAGCCCTGGAGGACCCCACTAGGACATTCCATAGCCTGAGATAAAGTGAAATTAACCCTAACCTTAAAGTGTCGATTTTTTAGGTATGAATTAAGCCAATCGATTAGAGGTGTTTTGATACCTAGTCGTTTGAGCTTGTTGATAAGACACAAGTGGTTAACCTTATCAAAAGCTTTTGAGAAATCAAGGTAAATGATAACTGCTAAAACTTGAAGAAATATCGCCGAACAGCTTGTCAGCTATGAAAATATCTCAATTTCTTTGCTACCTTGTGAAGTTATTTTGACTGATGATTGATTGGATCAAGTCTATCATCGCTTAAATCGCGTGAAATTTTAAACCAACATAATATACACCAGTGTACATTGTGGTCTGCAAAGCTCAGTAAAGCCCAAAAATATTCAGAGTGGCTAACTTACTTGAACCTGTTACCCTTTGTGGAGGAGCATAGCCTGCCCACCAATATTCTCCATACAACTCTGTTCTGAGTACTCCTCTTCAGTTGCTTCCAGTCGCTATTCCTCCTCACAATTTCTGCTTCCAATTCTCAGCTCAGTGTGTTCTTTGAACTTCCTCTTTTCGTTTCACTTCAGGTTTCCATGTTAATTCTTGCTTCATGGTGCAGTTTGATGATTTTCTAAATGTGTGTCTTATCCACGTCTAACGTTTTATTCTGATTTCCTCTTCAGCTGAAAGCTGGTTCGTTGTCTGCAACACTAGGCTGCTGCTGATGTTAACCGACCAACGGACATTGGGTGTATTGCATAGATAATTGTTTGTACATATTTGTACTTGTCTGATGATAACTGTAGTAGTTCTTCAAGCTCCAGCTCCATGCAGCAGCTCGTATTGAAGATTCTGACTTCATTGTCGGCTGGCGATTGTTTTGAGTTCCATATGTTCTCTAGCCGTGGGAATGAAGATCTTTCTTTCTCAATATTTACATTTACGTCTGCGTCGGGTCCTTCACGTTCATTGATGACTCTGTCCAGGTACGTAAACGTTTCCCTCTGTTCTAGAGCTTTACTATCATGTGCGGTTGGGTTAGTGTTCGCCATGCTGTATTTGAGGATCTTGCCTTTTACCTTGTGTGTGTCGAGGCTTACTGATGCAGAGGCCTCCGCCATACTGGTTGTCCCGGCCTGCATTTGCTCGTGTGTATGGGCTAGAGGTTTTGAGCCGTCTGAGAAATTCAAGTCGTCTGCTTGCATCCCGGCTGTCCATTAAATTCCTTGCTCCCCCAGATGTCGAGGTCTTCATAATCCAGTCGACCACCAGAAGGAAGAGGATGGGTGAGAGTAAGCAGCCTTGTCTGACTCTGGTTCCCACTTGGAATGCGTCTAGATGCACCACTTTGCAGTGCAGTCCGTTATATGAATTCTGTATGATGTTGACGATTTTCTCAGGTATACCGTAGTGTCAAAGAAGTTTCTATAAGGTTCTCTCATTCACAGTGTCAAACGCTTTCTCATAGTCAGGGAAGTTGGTGTATAGTGATGAGTACCATCCAAATGATTACCCAACGATGATCTGTAGTATCACGTTTTGATCTATGCATGACTGATCCTTATGGAATCGGCTACGATGCCACGTTGAAAACACCGGTTATCATCTGCCATGAACGACTTATTCCGATTGCACTTGCTTTATTGAAGTATAGATTCTAACACTGTGACTAAGTTTGCTAGATGACAGTAAGACAATCACAGTTCTAGATTTGGATACAGTTTGTAGTATCCTCGCAACATAAAGTAGCTTTGTCAGTTATTAACTTTATTAAATTTTCCATCCAGATACGAGTTGTAGTGAGATAGTTTCAGAACATCGCGCAAAACTTGACAACGCTGTTAGTAATATCTTTATAGTCGAGAACATCAAAATCAGTCAAACAAGAAGTCTTGAATGAAGTGTACGAAGATAAACTTGGAAGATAGTCGATGTTAAACATAGTATATGATATATGCACGGCGAGGAGATCTAAAGAGGATGTTTGATAGATAGATTTGATTATCCAACAAGTCTAATGAGTTCAGCACAAATGCCAAAGACCTACAGAACTGTCTTTTTTGGGAATTTATTAGCTGCTACACTCTAGTTACTTGTTTACTTCGTATTCTTACGTTTGGTTGTTTATCTTTTTATATTGTAGCAGGTTGGTCGCTGTGCATCAGTTTTATTAGGTGAATTCTCTGGTGAGAAGTACCATAATTAGTGGTTAGTAATTCATCAATATCATTGGATATGCTTTTGTACTACCGGGTTTGTGACATTTGAAGCTTGTAGTGGCATTGAGCAATAACCGCACAATCCACAAAGCTGAACACGAGACTACTCAGGAAATAGATATTCAATATTTAACGCGGATAAATACCGAACAATGGAGAAGGCGCGGAGAATGAATTGAATGGACTGGGTTTGATCGGATGGCATGGCTCGTCCATGCAGGCGTGGTCCATCTCAATGTTACTTTATATCTTCTATTCATATTAAATATATTGTTCTTTCTCTAGCCTAACCTTGTTCTACATCATGTATTGGTAATTGATACGATACTGTGAGTTGGTGTAGTCGATGGTGTGACTTCCACGTAAGATCTTATAGATTAGGCAGTTATATCATGACAAATCTACAAATTTAGGATTAGGTCTATTATTAGAGCAGTACTAATATCATAGTAGACCATAATTCTACATTGGTGAGCCCAGCTAAAGAAACGCAGCCTATCATTATTAATCCTTATTTCCACTTCAACTTTCTCGATCGATTTTATATTTATGTTAACCCTGTATTCCAATAGTCCTCTGATTAATGCTCACATGCATCATTGTAATGTTATATTGATTAGTCCTCATGACAAACTAGCTCAATTGATAATAAAAACTGGTCGTCTATATTAACTAATTAGCTTTGGATGGTTTGTTAACAAGCTGTAATAGCATTTATATGCTTCAGCGACATAGTCTTGTTTAAACATCAAGCTCTAGCAAATATGACCTGTAAATAGCGTAAATATACATTGACTAACAATGCGATCAAGGACTAAATAGTTATCTGGATCTAATTCTCAGTGTTCCTTCACTTAACACCTCATCCTGTTTTAAACGATGCACTCACCAGTAATATCTTTTCTTCCGACCACTGCCTGCCTAATTTCATATTCTCGAGTTCCATTGCCAAACAACGAGGATGACTACTCCAAAAACATACGGTAGGTTTCAGCTATAAGTTTTCTGCAATCATAAGGTCATTTTAGATGGCAAACACACAATTATTTGGATTCATTCAGTTTTCCTGATCAGAGCGAGTGGCAAAAACTTCAACAGCATCAAGCACCCTGGAATTAATTACCATACTGCATGTTTTACTCTGGTTACTTTTGGATCATTACTACTCCTCACGAATGGCTTTATGTATGTCGTCCACTGAATAATCTAATTTTCAAAAATAACCCAGGCGAGTTCAACTATTTTACTTAATGATTTTTTTACTTAACATGTATATGTTTTCCGGTTCCTCTTGCTATATATTTGTAAGTGTCCCTAGGCTAAATGCAGTAACTCCTTATGGAATGTTTATAATGCATCATATTCCTGCCTAAAGTTTCACACGCAGACTAAACTTTCAAATTATTTTCTGGTCATGTTCATTATTTTTAAATCGTCATATACGTCAACAACCTGCATGTTAACCTGGCCCATACATACGTTACACTATATCTCCATGTCTTCTAAATTTAGAAATCATTTGGATCGCCTTTAACATTTATCAATAAACCCATCATAGTCGTTGTTGCTAATCGTATTTGGGTTTAT